TATTAAGTGATTGCATCGCGGGCCTCTGATGCCCTGATTTTGTGTGAAGGGTTGAACGAAAAAAATAATTCATAAGCCTGCGCAGACTGTCTTATTTTTACGTATATATTCGTTATGTGTAATGCATCTTATTGCGTTCTGTCATGCCGTGGAACCACGAGGACTTCATCGTAAGACTTCCTGCCTGGAAGGCCCAGAAAGTAAGTAACACCGTCCAAAGCTACCAGTGAAGATGAACACATGTTTGTCTTTCGAAACAGCGATACTTTTCACACGGCAAGAGAGCCGTCGATTGGGTACTTGAAAGTCGTGTTGTTGAACTCGCATGTAACAGTTAGCGGACGAAATTATGGGAAGCGTGTTCCCATCGTCACTTTCTGAATTCTCCCAGTGGACCTGGCTGCCAGGTATTGACCTCTGACTTAATTGAGCCTGTTATTCGCAAACGGAAAGCAACAAGGATTCTGACTAGGTAGATTGTCTATTACGAATTCATAAGGACAACCCCACCCTGATCACGAAATCTCAACTGATTTTTTTTTCAATTCATTTGCAAAATGAAACCCAGAGGGTCTAGCAATGAGTGCTAGCAACGGGTTGTCGACTTGAGATCGAAATTGGACGCATTAAAACCCAAAAAGTACTGAACAACACCGTGACCACTGCGGCTAAAGTCACAACTTGCCAACATAAGGTCGGCCCGTCAAATATACACATTACTGGGGTGTCACATGACTGTCCTGTCTGCTACGTTTATTAGCCATAATCTCCGACCCCAGTGGTCCTGTTTACTTGATCTCGTGAAAGCCACCCCGCACTCGTTTCATTTACCTGATTGCTGAGCTGTTTACTGACTGGCTTCGTATGGCGCCTTGAACAAACGCACCTTGACACCAAAAGGCCAATTTCACCGAAGGATAGGAACAGATAACAAGGCGTCGCCTGATCCACTTTCGAGCAATTTGCACGACCGCAGTCACACTTTTCCCTCTTTATTGAATCTTTCGATAACATTTGCAATTTGACGCTATCGTTTCCTGTATCATTCATAGTAGTTTTGTTCGTAAAACAGCAGACTTCCTCTAACCACGTGACAGCCAGATTATATAAACTGGCAATTAATTTGTCGGGTGAACTTTGTCCTCCACTCTCCGTTCCCATTATCCGAATGAATATATTTTTTCTGTGCCAAATTGCGACTACTCGTACAGTCCCTTTTTACCTGTTAACTTGATTTAAGCCTTAAAAAGCCGCATTAATTTAAAAGTGCCTCACCTGCACATCCTACCGTCTTTTAGGACACAGCCGCCTCCGAAACGGTGCACTCTATGACAATTCCACTGGGCACCAGTTTCTCTATCGGTGGACCGATGGGTCTGTCCACTCTGAGTCAGCAACTCCAAAACCTGCTGACTACCAGTCTTTCACAGCCTCTCGATCTACTTCACCAGAGTGCTCAGGGTAGGGCACAAGGCGCCCCTTCAGGTGGCAATGGCATGACTGCCGTGCTTGGACCTTTTACCTGGGTCCTCAATAACAATCTTGGAGGCGCACCAGTTGTCAGCGGCGGTGAGCCCCATCCTCTCCCCCTTCTTCTTTTCTGTCGTCTTTATTTCTGCCACATAGCCACTCCTACACTCGTATCTTTGAATTCCACACTTTATTATGCCGCTCGCTGATACTCACTTCGTCCAGAGCCAGTACTACTCATACTATATCTTCTCAAAATGTACCTTTCTTTGAGCCGGATACTCTAGTAAAGGAATTTGTTCATATCGTTGCGTAGAAGTTGGTCTTTTGATGTGCTTTCGCGCAAGGTCGGATTACCACTTCATCAACAAACGTGACTCGATGTCCTGTGCGGATATCCTATTCACACTGACTAGTGGCCCCTTCTTGAAGTGGGCCCGCAATCTGTGAGACGAATTACCTAAGTAGAAGAGAGTTGTCATTCTGACAGTACCAGGTATACTATAATGCAAACAACAAACCACTCTCTTCACAAGTCCCCAAATTGCGTTCGTGGGAGTTACGTCCCCCCCCCCGGTTCCCATTTGCTGATATTTTAATAATCAATGCCATTAGTTAATGGCATTAGCCAATTGCAAGCTTATGCATAACGGTCTGGTTTCCTCCTCCCCTTTAGCTGCCGCGAGGTCGTCCACGGACGCCGAGTTCGAAGAGTTGACCGGCGAGACTGGCCTCACTCTGCTACCGGGCGTTCTAATTGAGGGCATAGTGCGCACCATCTGGTCTTTCATCTCAGACCTGGCTGTCGATCAACTAGACGCGGC